AATGATATTTTATTATTGTTTAATTAGAATAATAATTTTGAATTATTCTAATCAAATAATTTTATACTAATTAATCAATCAGAAAGATAAAAAAATCAGTCTAGTCAAATAATTAAAGTATTATTTAATTAGAATAATAAAATAAATTATTTTAATCAAATGATTTAAGTATCATTTAACTCAAATGATAAAAAAATTATTTAGTTAAATGATTTAAATATTATTTAACTAGAATAATAAAAAGTTATTTCAGTTAAATAATTTAATTATTATTTATTTAGAATAATAAAAAATTTGTTTTAGTTAAATAATTTAATTATTATTTAACTAAAATAATAAAAAATTTGATTTAATCAAAAGGTTTAATTATTATTCAACTAGAATGATAAAAAATTATTTTAATTAAATGATTAAAGTATTATTAACTAGAATGATTAAAATTATTATTTCAAAAGAATAATAAAAGAATCATTTGATTGAAATTATATATTTATCATTTTAAATAAAAATTATCATTTTAAATGAATTGAACTTTTAGATATATTACCTTTTAAATTTTATTTTATTTTAATATATTTTAACTAAATTTCAATGTATATCAATCAGATATAAGTCAAATATCAATTAACTACAAATAAAATAGATCAAATTTAGCTAAATTTGATATATCAATTGGTTATAAATATACCAATTGAATATAAATAAGATAGGTTAAATTTTAGCTAAATTTAGCTTTTTTTTGATATATGTTAATCAGTTAGACTATTTTTAATGATTTGTTAATTTTAGGCTAATTTTAAGCTGATTTATCACATATCTGATTTTTTTGATTTTGACTAGTAAAATAAAATATATTATTTGTAAATATATTTTTCTTTTTAGTGTAAATATGATAAATGTATTAATATAATTAGAAAATAAAATAATATTAAAAAATTATTTATAATATTCATTTAAATCTGAATTTTATTATTAAATGTAAAGTTATCTCTTAATAATAAAATATAACATTTATTTTAATTTAATAATTATAATTTATAAAAAAAATTAAATATATAGCTGTAATTAATTTATAATTGAAAATTTTTATAATTTATATTAAAGTTTTTATATAAATATCGGTCACAGGATATGTTACTTAAATTGTAAAAACTCAAAAAATATGATATTGTAAAATTTCTTAATCTAAAGTTACATAAGATTTATCACTTAATTTTGCAAGAATTGCTTTAATTAAGAGATCAACACACTATATTTTCACAATTTTATATATAAAAAAGCTAATTTATCACTTTCGCTTATATGCTAATACCAAAATCTAATTATTGTAACTTTTTACTATTTTAATATTAATATAACTAAGACCTCTTCTTTTTAATTAATATTATATAATAACAATAGTTTTAAAGAATCTTCTATCGAAAATTTAAAATAAAATCATATAACACAGTAATTTTTAACAGTTTCTTTATATAAAATCCAAAATCAGAATTTTTAATTTACAATTTATCTCTAAGTAAAGTTATAGTGCTGATAAATTTATGTATAATTACTAAATTTTAGAATTATATACATAACGAATAAAGTTTATGATTAATTTTTGTGTTCAATTTTAAGATTTTTAGCAGTTTCTTCATATAAATCTCAAAATTGGTATTTTTAATCTATCTTTTATTTATAAATAAAGTTGTAGCGCAGATAAAATTACATATAATTAGTAAATTTTAGAGTTATATACCTAACAAATAAGGTTTACAATTAGCTTTCGTATTCTATTTTAATATTTTTAACAATTTCTTTATATAAAAACTCAAAATCAGTATTGCTAATCTATATTTTACCTTTAAGTAAAGTTGTAGCACCAATTAAAATCTAATTTCAAAAGAAGTTTATTTTTTAAAAGACTGTACTTTATTAATTTAGTATGAAAATTCTTTAATGTTAAATAAATAACAATATGTTCATATAATGATAATTATAATATTTCTATATAATATTTTTTTTAACTCAAAACTAATGCTAAAAATGTATATAATGATAATAATAAAAAAATTTAGCGTTAAAGTTGAGTTAAAAATCAGAAAATGTTAATATTATATTCGCTTATAATGATTATTCTAATATATTCGAACATGTTGTATATTCCAATCATTACTAAAATCTTGAAGTTGCCTCAAAACTTCAACAGCCATATCTTTAGAAAACAAGTCAAAATTAAATAAATTTTCTTGTTACTATATTGTGTTATCTTCAACCTGATCATCTATCAAGATATTATTTATTTGCTATTTATGTATTTCTTTGCTTTGATTTTCTGATAACTTATGCACTATTACATTGTATTTATGATGACCTTTTGTATTCTGAGAATTAATTTTATAAACATCTTAGTGTTAAATTGCAATGAATTGGAATATACTAAGATTATAGCACGTAAATATTTTTGAAAACCCTATTAAAGTTATTTCTTATGCATTTAAAAAAGTTCATGCATTTTTAGATCTACTAAAGAAAAAGCAAAGAGTAACTCATTAGCTAACTGCTATAATACATTTTTTCGTGATTGTGTTGCTTATTCTTCTTTGGCTGCAACTATATCCCTTATATATTTTAATATTAATAAATCTAATCACTCTCGTTCTATCTGTATAAAACTTATTTGCAACTTTAATTCTTCATTATCCATTATTTTTTCTTCAATATTTTGTTTTACAAACTTGATACCAAATTTTCTAATGTTTCATCAAATGCGAAGTAATATTTAGGATGAGTGAGATTCATAGAACAAACACATTTAAGCAATTTTTAAAGATATGAATCATTTTCAATATATGTCAAAAAATATGTTACTGACCTAACATAGTTACCCTTTCCAGTAACTGAAAATAAAAGTAAAAATGCCGTGAGATTTCTTATTTGCATTTTATAATTTTCTCATCAAATACCAAGTTTGTTTCCTATCCAATAGCTAGCCTAATATAAATAACGATACAAAACTTTGAGAATATTATTATTTCCACTTTTAATATCACTTATTGTTTGGTTTTTATTGTATAAATATTTAAATATTGTAATTCTAATAGCAATCTAAATCAATTTCAAAACTTGACAGGTAGCCTGGTAATCTACAACTTTTTCTAGTTTATCTAAAAATTAGACTTCAAGTTTTACAGCTATATTGGCAATACCATAACCTCAAAAAATATTTATCAATGTAATGCATATATCATGAGAAGTGCTATTGGTCTAGAAAAGATATTACATTCTTATTATTATTATTTTCTTTGTGTAAAATCAACTGATGAAAAATTGCTTCGTCATATGCAATATCTAGATAACTTATATTAGTTATTCTTATATTATCATAATACAAATTACATGTATTATGAATGTTCATATTGTAATTCAAATTGTTATCTAGTTTAAGTATAATAACATTTAGATATGATACATCACATTCTATTGATATTTTTTGAGCAATATCTTTAAGAATACTATCTGTATCCTAATTATTTATACGTGTAGTTAGAAAATTTTGAAACATAAAGAGAAAGAAGATTATTTGTAAAAATAAAAGTGCTAAATATAAATCAGTCATCTTTACTAGAACCTTTGGTATCTATAGAATTATAATATTGAAGTTGCATGAGTATAGTAAATTGAAACACCATCCTTAATGTAATATATACACTTTTATGTATGACATCAAAGATATTTTCATATGCATAAATTTGTTCTATAAAATCTATGTTATTAATTACTGATACATTCTATATGATAGTATTCTATAACAGTCTACTTTTTGGTTTTACATTTTGTTAATGAATCTTTTCTAATAATCTTTCATATTGATATATATGGAATACTACATTTGTTATACAAAGAATACTGTAAAGGGAATGATGTAATTTTGGATTTCAGTAAAGCAAACTCATAATATAAATTAGCCAAATTTTAGTGACTGGAAATGCTATATTTAATATTATTGAAATAAGAAATGCAGTTATCTTGTTTACATAGCTTATATTAAAATTCTTTAATAAAGGACTCTTTGCTTTCTTTTTCTAATTAATATTTCATATTTTTTTCTTTGTAATATTTTAATAAATCCATTAAAAAAGTTTGCCAAACATGAAGAAAAACCATTCTGATATTTCATTAATGATGTTAAATTTTCAAGTTTAGTTTTATTTTTTTGTATATCATGTTATACTTTCTATATCATAATTTTTAATATTTTGTTAAAGTCTGTAGTTATTTCAGAGGTGAGTTCATATTTTTGACTCATAATTTTTGTTATGTTAACATATCCAATCTCAAAGCAATCTTTACAAAAAGAAGGCTAGGATAATCTGCCACTACTGAAGAAGATTTGGTATTATAAAATGTTGAAAGCATATTAGTCAAACATACTAAAAGATTGTTTTTATTATTCTTATCAGTGGATTTTACTATAGATAAGACCCAGTTACCTATAATTTAAAGTGCTTTACTTGTATCATCCTTATGCATATCTATACTTTCAAAATTCAGCATATTTTTACGGCCTCTTCACTCATAAAATGCCTATCATATATAATAAAACACTCTAAATATATATATTTAGGTCAATATTTTATTTGATCATTATTATCATTAATATTTTCTGATTCTATCTTCTATTTGAATATAGGGCAAACTTTAAGTCTAACATAAGGAATTTGCACATATTTTCTAAAAATATGTCTTGAATGCTGTATACAAGTCCTACTTGATTAAAAAATATTTGTATTTATTATAAAATAAGTAATAACAGCAAAAATCCAACTTTTTTAAATTGAACGTGTCTTTTGGTATTTGAAAGATGAAGCTGATTTTGATTATAAAGAAAGTAGAAATGATATATACCTATTGTTGACAAATCGTTTTTGTTTAAGCTTTTGAAAAATCTCTGAATTAATCTTCTAAGCTCAAATTAGTTGAGAAAGTGGCCTTTGTCTTAATGAATGGCTTATGCAGCATTAAATGGAACCATTATTAATATCTAAAATTGGATATTCTAATAAAGATTCATTAGCATTTATTGCGTTTATAACAAAATATTCATTTCCATCAATTGATCCTAATGTAATCAACTCTAAATCAAATATTGAAATTATTGATGTATTAACATTTACTTTGGTATTGGTATCAATATCATTGATATTTTTTAATAAAAATATATCATTATTTTTGTTCTCTTATATAAGTATTCTTGCTCTTTCAAAATTAGCATTATTAAAAGAAAGGATATTTCTATATCATAATTTAATGCACTATTATCACTTCTAATATTCTCTATAATACTCTTTGATGTAAGATTTTTAGCAAAGGCTATACTTTCCAAATTATCATAATCATTAAGAACATAATCAAAATTATCAAAAATGTTCTGCAAGTTTGTATCAGACATAGTAAAAGAGGCAATTTTTATATGATAAGATGACTAACGCTAAGTAAATATCATCAATTAAAAAAAAGAATTTTATAAAAAAATAGCAATAGTATAAAACTAAAAAATTTACTACTCTAAAGAATAAAATACTAATGCTAATGTTAAAACTAAATTTTTAACTAACGAGTTATTATTATCAGAAAAAAAATTTAAGAAAAAAAATGAAAATGATTTTAATTTAATGTTAAGATTCTTTAACGTTAAAAATTATAAGGCCTTTATATAATGATAAGATTGTTTAATATTTTTTTTTTTATAAATGATGTCTTATTAAGATATAAAATAGAGTACAAATATAGGTATATAAAATAAAAATACATATAAAGAAACTATCTATTTAAATTAGTAATTCTATGATCACATCCTGTCTGATTGCTTTTCAATAGAAGAAGTAGTTATTATTTTGAGTGACAAATTTATCAATCTTTAATTAATGCATTCTGTCATACTTTTTAATACATTCTTAAATATTATATTACATGCAAAAATATTATAAGACATAAAATCAATATCTCTTTAATATGTAAGTAGATTAAAAAAAATACATATTGTAATAGTAATGATAAGTTTAATATTTTAAAGTTAATTAAAGTTAATTAGTCTAAAGTATAATGAGAATTTACGTATAGTAATACAGAAATATTCTATTATTTGTCTAGTATGTAACAATATTTTGCACTTCAGACTTTGTACTATTTTCGTTTTCTAGTTTATATAACTTAATATTAACAATAATATCAATATTAATAACATTTTAGCAATTTCTTTAAATTAAACTAAGAAGTTTTTGAAATTAGATTTATATGTAAATTTATCAGTGCTATAACTTTACTTATAAATAAAAGGTAAATTAGAAATGCTTATTTTGAGTTTTATATGAAGAACTGCTAAAAATCTTAAAATTGAATATAAAAGTTAATCTTAAATTTTATTCGTTAAGTGTATAATTCTGAAATTTAATAATTTATCAGTGCTATAACTTTATTTAGAGATAAAATGTAGATTAAAAATTCTGATTTTGAGTTATATATAAAGTAACTTTTAAAAATTACTGTATCACATGATTTTATTTTAAAATTTTCGATAGAAGATTCTTTAAAACTATCATTATTATATAATATTAATAAATAGACTTTTAAAAAAAGAGGTTCTGATTATACTTATATTAAAATAACAAGAAGTTACAACCATTAAATTTTGGTATTATCATATAAGTAAAAGTTGTGAACTAGCTTTTTTATATATAAAAATTGTGAAAATTCAGTATGCCAATCTCTTAATTAAAGCAATTTCTGCAAAATTAGGTGATAAAATCTTGTGTAACTTTGAATTAAGAAATCTTATACATTATATTTTTTAAGCTTTACAATTGGTATAAAATTTTAGTAACATATTCTGTGATCGATATTATTTAAATATATACTCAATTTATTAAAATATTAGTAAAATAAAAGTATCTATAAAATGATTTTTAGTAAAAAAGAATGTTAGTAAATTGGAAGTATTAATTATAAGAATATTAGTCAAATTTCAAAAAAGGCTATCAATTAATTATTGCTGTAACTTCTATAATTATTTTAAATACAAATTAATTATAAATAATATTTTAGGTATTATATATAATAAAAGATATATAAAATAAAATATTATTTTAAAAATACATAATTTATTAATTTTTATTATACTTATTGTTATTATAATAAAATTATATTGATTTAAATATATATTAATTTATTAAATTTAAAAATTAATTAATTTTTTTTTTATAAAAATATCAAATACCTATTGTTGTATTTAAAAAATTATATAATTATAATAAAATTATATTAAAATAAAGTAAATTTAATTATATCTTATTAATAAATAAGTTAAAGTTAATTAGAATTAATTTAGATTGAATAGAAATTTGAAATTATAATATTTCTAATTGTTGTTATCAAAATAAAATTTATATTATAAAAGAATTAGTATTTCTACTAAATTAATATATACTTCTTTTTAAATTATTCTTAATATTAGAAAAATAGTTTTATTTAATATTACATTATTATTATTTTAAATTTTATAAAATTTAAGATATAATAAATAAATATTAAAATAAATATTTTAAATTTTATGTATTTTATATAAAAAAATTCATTTTTTTTAAAAATAATTATATTTATATATTGAAATTTAATAATATTAAATCAATAAATATTAGAAATAACTAAAGTAAGTCAGAATTCTTATATATTTATTATGATTTATATTTAAAATTTTAAGAAATCTTAATAATATAAAAATTATTTATTAATTTTATTATAACTAATAAGTTATTTATAAATAATTAATTATTTGAGATTTCTTATTAAAATTAAAATGTCATATATATTTTATTACTTATTTTTTTTATTTACTTATTTTTACTTATATTTTAAATGATAAAGATTTTTTAAAAAATTTTATTTCTATTTAAATTTAATTTAAAATTTTAAAAATATATTATTTTTAAGATATAAAAATTTTTATATTTGAATAATAGTAATAATTATATAGTAAATATAATTTCAAAACTTTGATAAATTTGAATTGTATAAATATTTTTATTATAACTGACCATTTTCTTTCTATTATAATAAATAAGGTTTATATATATATAGATTTAAAATAAAGTATTTATGTAATAAATGAGAATTTTAAATTTAACATCTAAAATTTTAATGATTTAGTTTTTTATAATTAAATAATCAAATATCTGCTTAAAATTTGATTAAATAGATATTATAATTAGTTAGTTATATTTAATACTACTGATTATAGATTAAATGATTTTTAAAAATAATGATAAAAAATATAAAATATTAATTTATATAAATTTATAAATTTTTAAAATATTATATTTTTCAATTTTTTTAATAAATTTAAATTATAATATAAAAATATATTTTTTATTATTAAATTAAATTTTGTTATTATATTAAATATTAATAAAAAGTATATATATATATATATATATAAATATATTAATAAGATTCTTATATAATATTATATCAATAAATTTTACTATTATAATTATAATTCAAATTAATTTAACATCATTATCCTGCTATTTATATTTAAATTGAATTTAAAAAAATGCAAATTCTAAAGAAATCATAATACTTTATGTTAAAAAAAAATTTAATAATAAACTTTACTTAATGATTCAATTTTCAAAAAAATATTTAAAATAAATTATAATTAAAAATTTTGTTTCTATAGTTTGAAGTAATTTAACCCAACTTTTATAATTAATAAATAAAAAAAATCTCTAAGTAAACACGGGTTGTATGAAACACAGGTCATATATATGATATATATAAACTTATGTGGAGTTGCGTTTAGTTTAGGGTTAGTGTTAGTATGCAGATTAGGTTGCTATTTATCATGCCGCATCACACCCAAATATGTTTCGTTTTTACTAATTAATCTTGGGAACTTGAAAATTTTTTATACTAAAAATGTTATTTGTCACCCGCTATGTTTCACATAGTGTTCAAACACCCCGTGTACAAATATCTAAAACAATAAAAATTTATCTTTTTTTATTTTGTTATATAAGCAAAAAAAAAATACATATATATATAAATTGAAACTTCATTCATATAAAATATAGTATATATTATATAATCCATATATATTTTAAAAAAATAAAACTATAATTAAATTGCAAAGAAAAAAAAAATTAACATTAAAATTAATTTTGAAAATACATTGTTTCTTATATTAAATTATAATTGTTTCTTATATTAAAATTATAATTATTCTAAAGATTTAATGATATTATTTACAAGTAAATTCTAATTTAACAATATTTAAATTTTGATAAAATTGTCACGTGGAACGAAAGCGGAATTTTTTCGGGTGTTACTAAACATAAATGCGATGCGACTATCATTCGAAATCTATCTTTTATTGCAAATTTGGTAAACAATATAATTAAATTAAATTTTTCTTTAAAAGAAAAAAAAAAAAAATTATTCTCTGTAAAATAAGTTTTGCCCATTAAAAGTTAAAAATCATGTCAAAGGATTCTTCGATACTTATTATAATATGGCTTTTAATTCAATTATTAATTGATGTAAATTGCCAAGCGAAATTTAAGTCAACAACACCACGATACCTTCATACCGCAACATTTATCGATAAAAAATTATACATCTTGGGTGGTCGAAATGATGAGATGGCTAGTATTGCCGGAAAACAATTTTTTTATCTCGATGTAACTGCCTCATTTGATACAAACGAAGTGTTATGGAATGACTTAACCGGTAATAATAATGTTCCATCACATGATAGTGCGACATCTGTTACGGGCGGTATCAACAATAATAGTTTGATTTTATTGGGAGGAATTCCTCAAAATGATAAGGAATCAATGGATTTGGTATACAGATTTGATACACAAACAAACTCATGGACTCTCCCGAGAATTTCTGAAAACAAAGTTGACAATATAATTATCAGCATAAGTAGTTTAACGGGCATCATCAATAATGGACAAATTTATTTGTTTGGTGGAAAGGTAAATAATGAAGATTTTAATGATTTACTTGTTTTAGACATAATAAATTTGAGCTGGGGGAAAGCAAGTATAGTTAATGCACCGACTCCAAGATTTTATTATGGTGCAACTCTTTTACCAGACCAATGCATTATTTATTTAGGTGGTTATCACGACGGACCTTTACCACTAAATGAGGTGAATTAATTAGTAAAATTTATAAAACGTATGAATGATAAACGATTATATTTACACCTGCTTAATAATTTTAGATATATATATATGACACAATTAATAATTTTTGGGCTACAACGGTAAGTTATCCTTATAATTTATTATTTAAATCCTTAATAGTTAAAATATCTTGAACAATATTTTATATTTTTTTAATTAACTAGATAACTCAGGGAGCAAATCCTTCTGATAGATATGGATTTTCTGTCGTTCCTGGTAAATGATTTCACGAATTATCATTAAAATATTTTTGAATGTCATTTAACACAGTATAAATTTTATTTTAAAAGGATTGGATGGACGACGAATAATAATTTTTGGAGGATATCACCTTAAATCACTTGATCCACAAGATTCCCTTTATGTATTAGATTTAACAAACTTTAGATGGTACACTCCAAAAATTTCTGGAAAGGTTCCAAGTTCCCGGATATTTCATCAAGCAAACGTGATAGAACATTATATGGTTATATCATTTGGTAAATGTTAATTGTTTTTTTTTTTTATTGTCTAAAAATAAATAATAATAATCATACCATTTCGAACTTTCTCTGCATTTATGTTTAATAGGAATGGATTATAATCCAAACATCGATAATGATATTTTATTGCTTGACATTGGTGATGAACAGGAATATATATGGACAAGCTCTTTTGAAGTAAATCCGACTGTACCAGTTACAATTGGCATAATTATAGGATCTGTAGCTGGTTGCGTTCTTTTATTACTTGGAGGTCTTTTTATATATAAACGGCATACAAATAAAAAGGAAAAAAATAAAGTTGTGTTACCAACTCCTGAAGTTGTTGGAAATGAAGACGTTAATAGAAGAGATATTAATGATCTTAGACATGAAATTTTAACGGTTCCAACAGATAATAATGATGATGGAAGAGAAATAACATCAAACATCGATTATCAAAGATCAGGGTCATTACGGGACGTTGATCTGGAAAATTTTAAAAACGAAATGCTTCAAATAGTTAGACAAGAAATTCAGCAAAATTTGAAACAAGATGTAGCACAGAATAGTGAACAAGCTTCTAATGCAAATGTCCTAGAAAATTTTAAAAATGAAATGATTCAAGTAGTTAAACAAGAGATGGAAACTTTAAGACAAGACGCAGCACATGATAGTGGACAAGGTTCTAACAATGAAATGTTTACGAATCATGGTTATTATTATTATTAATATAATTTTTAGATTTTTTTTTACTTGCCTTATTATTTTGTATAAATGTTAATGGGACTTTAGATTTGTATAATAGATTCTGTTCGTTTTGTAATTATATTTATTAAAATATTTAGATATACTGTATCATGAGATGTCTTTAAATAAATTTTAACACCACTGTACAGTACAACAGTTATTTTAGTTTTTTTTTTTTTTTTTTTTTTTTTTAAAAAAAAAAAGGTGCCACAGTTAAATTTATTTTTGATAAATATTCTTGTAATTTTTATGGATCTTTGATAAAATTAATTGGACATTTCTGTGTTTATGGTTTCATTTTTTATTGTCTCTAAATTTTACTTGAGAATGAAAGTATTGAATCATTTTTTAACACAACTTTATTACAAATACAATATTTTTTTTTTTTTTTTTAAAAAAAAAATAATAATACGAAATACTTTCATTATATTATAAATTAATAAGGCCCTCTTATGGACCGGACTGGTAAGACCGAATGGTCTTTTGGACCGTATCGGACCGGACCGGCTCATTTTCTTTTGTCAACAAAAATATTTGATAGCATAAACAAATTTCTAAACTTCGTGCATAAATTCAACGTGCATAGTATATAAAAAGATAAAATTATTGCTTTTAAAGTTAAAGAAACATTATGAAACTTAATGCACACCAAGAATAATCTATTGACTTTTAAATAATAATTAAAGCCTGCTATAAATATTTTATCGGTCATTTACTATCTGATGATTTTGCTAGTACAATTAGTTACTAATCATTTATTTTTGTTATTATGTCAAATTGTAAATTACTATTAGATAACATTATTTAATATAGTTTAATAGCTAATTATTAATTTATTTATTGAAATTTCAATTTTTATAATATTTCTTAAACTATCGTATTTGTGATATGTATGATTCATCAGGTACATGTGACGCAGACAATTGTGTTTTGAGGAACTCTACCTTTTCGCAAGTGCTAATTGATTATCTTTGTATGAAATATTTTGTCATTTATATTATCAAAAGAAAAAAATTTTTTTTTGGGAAAAACAAGACGCGTAAAAGAAAAAGAAATATCATTTGTTCTTATGAAAAAATGGTTTAATAAAAAAAAAAAAAAGTCAGTTTTTTAATTTCAAAAGTCACGGGACGGACGATCATTTTGCAGATCGATAAAAAAACTCGGTAAAACTCGGTATAGAATTTTTGAAGAAAAAACATTATCGCTACGTTCAAATCATTGTTCCGAATATAGCGACATAACTTTTTTACCTATATAAAACTGTGGTTGGCTTTTCAAATCCTTATAAATGTTCTCAGAAAAGTCTCGGTTATTATCGGCTGTCCCGTGACTTATGAAATTAGCTGTAAACTAAACCGATAAAACAGTTACTCGGCACTACGTGACCTCGTAACTGCGGCACTGCCTTTGCCTTACATGTATTTGCAATAAGAATATGATCAAGTGAGCGGAACTCAGCAAATTCCACCAATCATATTGCTTATTGCAAATACAACAGTTACGAAGTGCCGAGTAACTAATTTTGGGAATCATAAAGGAAATATGCCTTGAGCGTTCAAAGAAGATGTAGTAGTTGATTGAATCCAAAATCAAAATTTTTTCAAATGATTACCCGCAGAAAGTTTAATTACTGCCACAAATTTTCTTGTAAATTTTTCTCAGAAAATTATCAGAAGAAGAATGGTTTATTAAAAATTGATAATTTATCTGGCCAGATTTAAGTGATAAACTTAGGCGTTTTTTTTTTTAGTATAAAGGCGGTTTCATTAGGACCCTTTAACCCTTTACTCGACATTTACTAAAAGACCTCACCTTAATTCTTTTGTTCATCCGTTTTTAGATTCTGCCTTATGATACATTGCCCATATAAATTATGAAATTGGTGAAAAGTAGTATCTAATATATGTCGAAAGGTCAAAGCCAAAAACAAAAGATGAAAAATGAGTGACAGATTTTGAAAAAAAAATAATTAGAAACTAGAAGCAGATGAAAATACCATGATATTTTGAAGGATTGAAAGCGACCCCAATTCAGAGTCGGTATACTGAATTTACTTGATTTACTTGAATTACAAATAATTTTTATCAATTTTAAAAATCGACTCAAAAGAGTCGGCTCTAAATCATATCGTCACCAAATTAAGACCGAATTTGTTTGATAACGAATAATTTTTTTTTTAAACGATCAACATCTACAGTATTTTTATAAATTAACTTGACGTTCCTAGTCTTAATTTACTTCAGGAGAGACGAAGCAGAACCGAAGAAAACCCGTCCCCATCCCTAGGTACGTAGCGTTAAAAAATTTCGCGTTTCAATACTGATATCGCAATTGTAGGTAGACAGCTCAAATATTTTAATGAAATGGAACGCTACGCCATTGGTTTGGTTTTATCGAGTTGATTTTAAAATGGGCAATCAATACATACAGTTTGTTTTACTAAAAGATTGTTTATTAATAAACCAATTCTAACTTCTATTGTTTATGTAACGTTAGTCTATGTTAAAATATCAATCAAGGGAAGATGCATGCTTTACTTGATTTTCTTATTTATATATTTTTTTTAATTACTTGGAAAAAAAGCGCTAATCAAAATTTTGATGAATAACTTCATTTTATTTATTGAATATCGATTTGGTAATTATGAAGATAATCGTCCATCCTTCAAATATGTGAATTTGCTATTTACACTTTGGGTTTGTAATTTGATTTTTCTGAATGAAAAAATTAATTTGGCGCTATGAAATATTTCATTTTTAGATAATAATATTATTCGCAGATTCTCCGTTTCCATTGTATATAGAATAATTCGATGTTGACTCATAAATCGCTCGTATTTACCCCGGTGAATAAAGGTCAACCAATATTTCATTAATATGAAAACCACTGCCTTGTCAAAAGCGTGAAAAATTTGAAAGAACGATTTGGTTGGGATTCAAAAATTTAGCAAAGGTAGGAATGTTATTTATAATTTAGGTAAGAAATAGTACAAGGAAAAAAGTTATTATGTTCTAAACCCTGGGTTTCTTTTATCTTTATTAAAAAAAAAAAAAATGAAAATGATTTCTTAATTAATAGGATATATCCAAGAAAAAAAAAATTTCTTTTTGATCCTTAGACTTCATAATAAAATAAAATAGTTGATATCTTTCTTAAAATTGAAATTTTAAGAAAATGACATTTGATGTTAAATTACAAAGAAAATTAAGGAAAGAAAATATTAATTCTATATTTCGTTTTTAAAAGTTCTTCTAACTTGACTTGGGATTCTTGAAATCCTTGTATAGCAGATTGTTCATACCAATAAATTGCTAGAATTAAATCATCCTCATTTTCGTAATAATGAGCAAGTTTATTTTGAGCTGTTACATTATTTAGATTTGCAGCCTTCTCATATAATTCAAATGCCTTTTGAATATTAACACTAGTTCCTATACCATCTTCATAACATCGTGCCAAATTTAATATTCCTTCCGAATGATTTGTTTCCGCCGATTTTTGAAAATATTCAAAGGCTTTATCATTATCTATATTATCACCTAATCCATCTCGGTAATATTTACCAAGATACAACATGGCAGATGTATTTCCATAATTCGCAGCCCTCTCATATAATTCAAATGCCTTTTGAATATTAACACCAGTTCCTATACCTTCTTCATAACATTGTGCCAAATTTAATATTCCTTCCGGATGATTTGCTTCCGCCGATTTTTGAAAGTATTCAAAGGCTTTATCATTATCTGTATTATCACCTAATCCATCTCGGTAATATTTACCAAGGTAAAACATGGCGAATATATTTCCATCATTTGCAGACCTTTCATATAATTCAACCGCTTTTTTTTTATCAATACTTGTTCCAATTCCTTTTTCATAACAATATCCCAAAGCAAATGTTCCTTCTGTAGTGTATCCTTCTGTAGACTTTTGAAACAATTCAAAAGCCTTTATCTCATCAACATCAACACCATTACCATCGCGATAACAAGCGCCAAGAGCAAATAGGGCGGTAAAGTTTCCATTATTAATGGACTTTTCATACCAATGGATTGCCAATTGTAGGTCCTTCTCAACACCTACTCCATGTTCATAAAAATTTCCAACCGATAATTGTCCTGATGAAAAGCCCTTGTCGGCCGCTTTTTTATAATATTCGAATGCTTTCTCATCATCTTTTGTGACAATATTGCCCGTGAAATAATAATTTCCAACGTAAAAGTGGGCTAGGGTATGGTTTTGTTTTGATGCTTTAACAAATAAATCAAAAGCCTTTTCCTTGTCGCAACTCATTCCAATTCCATGATGATTTAAAAAACCGAGTAAAAAAATATTATTTAAACTACTTTGATTAACTTTTATCCAATTAACAATGTCTTGTAAAGTAAACTTTTGATTATTAAAATAATCAAGAATAATTTGAATGAACCTTTTCTCACCACCTGTTTTGTCTCTCTCGCTAAAAATAAGTTTAAATATGTCTTCAACGATTATACTTAAATGATGTTCAGGTGGTATAATTCGTTCATTTGATAAAATTTCTATCATTTTTCTTGTCTTCATCTGATCAAAATTTTGAATGGTTCGAGCGCTTGAAGAAGAAGAATCAACAAGATTTGATTCATGATTATTTCCCGTTGTTATGCTTATTTTTGTGATTAATGCTTTTACGACTTGTTTCATAATCGGGCGACTGTCTGGTTCATGATTCCAACACTCTAAAAAAAAAAAAATTATATATATATACATTAAAATATAAATTTAATGATCGAAAAGATCATATTTAAATAATATATTTACCGGTGTAAATATTCACATAAGCTTCAGGTGTATTAGGGGAAATTGTCTCTCTGAGACCTTGTGAAATTTTCTCAGACAACGATCTAAGGTCATTTTGTTCATCTTTGATTTGAAAAGGACGATGACCGCTAGATATTTCCCATAAAAGTACACCCACACTATAAACGTCGCTCTTTTCATTTAGTTTATACGTTTGTACATTCAAGCTTTTTGGATCCATATAAGGGATCACGTCATAAATTTCTGTTTGACGTAAAGATGATACTTCCTCAATTCTTTTAGACAAGCCAAAATCAGCCAGTTTAATACTTTTTTGATGAATTAGAATATTGTTGGAGTGCTATTATAAGGATTTCATATAATAAATTTAATCATTGTTGCAAAAAGTGCTTTGAAAATTAAAGAAAGCATACATTACCAAATCTCGATGTACAATCCCTTCATCATGTAAACATGATACAGCATAAGCCAATTGAAACGCCAAATTGTATTTATCATCCCAAGAAAGTTTTTCAAAATTATTCTCCAAATAGTTTCGAAGAGTGCTACCGTTAGCATATTCCATTACCAACGAATATTTTCTCAACTGATCATCTTCATTATCAAATTTAAAAAGTTTTTAATTTCTACAAGTAAATTACTTTTAAGTTTTAATTTTGTAAGTGGGAAAAACATATATACCTTGGTCAGAAGCTGTAATACCGTAGAAGCGAATGATATTATCGTGAAAATCAACGTCGCGTTGAAGCTTGAACTGCACCATAATTCAAGATTTTAAAATATATTTCGAATATTAGAAGTATGAATGATAAAAATATTATAAATACCTCATGAACAATTTCTTTAAATGAGATGTTGTTAATGTTGTAAAAGGATTTCAATGCGAAATCTTTATGAGAATTTTTACAAGTTGCTCGATAGACTGTACCGAATCTTCCAAAACCTATTTCTTGAAAGTCGTTAAAATGGTCATATTCGTAAGATTTAATAAGGTCTTCAGAAATAGCTTTTTCAATTAAATTATGCATTTTGACTTTTAATATAACTTTTGTGTGTGTAGTAAAAGTAATTTAAAAAATGTTGCTTGCAAGAAAGAAAATTATTCTTATTCTAATATAAAAGTGAAAGAAATTTCCCCTATTTATGGGTACAATGATAAAAAAAGGAATAATATTCTATATATGGTTTCTCATTGAATGTTTCGACTTCGTGAAACGTGAAGTAACCAATCAATAATCTTCTGTTCGTCATGTTGCATGAAGATCGGTTGCGTTTCGTTTAGAAATTATTCAAAATTTTACATTGTCAACCTAAACCTAAACAACCAATGAATTTCGTTCAAAGGGCTTGCTTATTTTTCTTCCAAACAAATTTTTTATGGAATTTTTACTTTACAATTTAGAAAATATTTCATTCCTATTTATAATTCCTCATGTAATGCAAATAAGCCAATGAATTACGAGGCTCCGATTTAATGCAAATCAGCCGAATGACAACTTTTGTGAAACGGAAATTGGCGTTTGTCATATGCTTTATTCCGTATTATGATATGATCATGCAAATCAGCCTTATTTCGACAGATTTCACGTGACTTACAAATTTCTCAGAGCCTCAAATTAAAATAAAATCCAATTCTTTTTTTTTTCAACTTGAATAACAATCTTCCTTTCCTTCATCTCTGGATAATTCGACTTTAAACGGATCAATTTTATAGCGATTAAGGTCATATTGAACAAAATAGGTTTATTAGCAAGCTAGATCGCTTTACAAAATTAAGAAATCAACTGAATGTATTTCATTACCTAACTAAATAATTGATTTTATAGAGGGCTGAACGAAGGGAATAAAATAAACAATGCAACCGTATTTAATACTTTCTTAGAAAAACTAAAGCAGGGCAGATTATCAAAATGGAGCAATGCTTTAAATTCGCAGAACGTTATAATGCCACCAAAACATAATCTTGTTCTTGAATTACAAATATACTTAATCGAGAGAACTGAACGTTGCTTAGACACCAGTCAGGGTTAATTCTGAAAAATCATGTAGCAATTGATTTTAAAATTATTAAGCTTAAAACATTCTCTCAATAAATCAATCATTCATCCATATTATTATGTTGAACTTATTAATATGAGAAGTTATTTATCATAAAGATAATACATAAATTGAAAAACTTAAAGGCTTATGAACTTTGTTACTTTTTACGACAACATTTACAATAAATTCATGGCCTTTATTGTAACAGCGAGGATATAGGGATAAAATTTTAAAAAGGTCGGTCTCTTGAAAAATCAAAGTAAAAAGTTTTTTATTAAAATAAAAAATCGTCAAAACATGGAGATATTATAGGGAACGCGCGTTAAGTTGCATATGCAACTTCTAATAATAATACATTTGTGACATTTGAATTACAAACTAATCGTCCTTGCCATTCTAATCGATCCCTCCAAGAACTTAGGATGATTAACTGGGTTAAATCAAGTCGAATGATGATTATGTGTGGCTTTTCCGTCAAAACAAAGACCGTATGTTACACAGATTTTTACGACAAATTCAAGATATTAAATTAATGATTTAAGTTAAATGTATGCATCATTTTTCCTCCTAAATGCGCATCATTTAGTTATTCCTTGTTCTATATTTACAGTTATTCATTAAATGGAATAATTCTACTCAAATAAATAAACTAATAAAAAGTATATAAAAAATATAACTTTAATTATAACTTTTCCGGTGATAGAATTTTATTTTAAATCCTAGGTCCACGAAGATCTTAGTAGTTTCTCATATTAACTATCATAATCATCATGAAATTTTCAACTGTTTAGAAGTTGAAACTGGTTAGTTTAGGATGTTTCGGTTTGGACTCAGCCTCTACAATTGTAAATTGTTTCTTCAGGAGTATGGATCATATAAATACTGAAATTTCAAGATTCCAGTCTTTTTTCCACGGGTGAAACTCAAACGCTTATGGGAATAATACAATCAATGTCTTTTTGCGATCGAAAGTGAAAGAATTGAATGGATAAAGAAAAATTTGTGGGCACAGAGTCTCTTCCATAATCTTCAATAATACAGAATTTAAATGGGTCCTTAAAACTCCATGATATTATGATGAAGCAATTAAATTATATTCGTCCATTTTGCTGAAAATAAACATTTCTCTATAAAATAAAGGCAGTTGTACCTCTTCTAGCAAAGCTCCATGACATATGGTAAGTCGACTTAGCGAATTTTACCTTTGTATTCCTCATCCACTCAAGATATGTGCTGAAAATCAAGCCAAGTACGAACATTTATAATTGGATGACAAGCTTTAGAATGGGAAAAATGATATTAGTAAAATTTATTGACCTTCCCACATGACAAAATTCAAAGCAAAAATGATTCTATTTATAAAAAAGTACAAACGAAAGCGTTACAAATTTTTCACGGCAAATCTTCGTATACATAAAAAAAAATCCGTTGCTTTTTAAAACGGCAAATCCAAGTCTGCATTGATGATATTCCGCTAATTTCTTCTAATAAGTTCGTGAGCATCCGTGGTGTCAGGTAATTAAATGTATTTGCCAAAGAACGTACCAGTAAGACTCATATCCATCAAAAATTAAGTGGCTCGAAAGTGTTCTGTTGCTCCAATTGACAGCCGAAGTTGATCTAGTCATCGTCGGTGCTCACAATATAATTTTCGTTATCTTACTCTCTTATATTCCAATAAAAAAAATGAGTGTTTACGCTGGGATCTTGATGGTTAAAGCCGTGTTCGATACGTGAATGATAGAGTTTTTGGCCGAATTATGGCGTTAAGTGATAGTCCCAGTAACAAATATAACGAAAAAATTCTGTCCCCAGAATACTTAATAAAAATGAAAAAAAAAAGAGGAGTGACGTTGGGGTGTGCTGTCGACATAGATTAACAAAACCATATCTAGTCCTATAGTAATATTTTCTATTAAAGATTTTTTGTATTTCCAATAGTTTAAATTTGCTTTATAATAAATCGATACAAAGTTATACTTCGCTCCAAATTTTACCAAAACTTTCTAAATTATTGTCTTTTTCATGTAACAGCTTGTTTTTCCAAAAAAAAATATCATTTCGTTTCAAGAAATAATAAAATAAATCTTTTTATGCACAGCTCTCTAAATAAAAAAAAAAATTTTTATTTTCAAGATGATGTCACATCGTTTTTTAAGTGACAAAATACCGTAAAACGCTCTTTATAGTAATCCCCCTGTCGAATATTATAATGGTATAGTATAATACAAAAATGCTGATCACTTTATCGTTACCATTTAATTTTCCTAAATTTTTTTTCTAATTTAAAAATGCTCTACAACAGTAATTTACAACATTTAAATGAATTTTTAATTAAATTTGGATCAAGAGTTTCCCATGCGATTTTTACCCATTCGGCTAGTTTTGAATATGATGGCCTTTTAATACGATTTGAGGGTGTAGTTTCATGAATTTCCTCTACCATCCATTGATTATATAGTACATGGACCTTTTTAAATTAATTTTATTAGTATTTACGGTGTGTTGCAAAAAACCGGATTTTGATCATGTGATTTAAATTGGTCTCACGTGGTCAAAATTTATCCGATTTTGATTTTCTAAAATGGAAAATCGACGTAACGATCATAATAAATAAACCCCGATCTCAAATCGATGTGACATTTTTTTTCTGAGCTACTGCGCCGCAAAATATGATTTCGAAGCAAGAAAGACAATGCTAGACTATTTTACAATTGTGGAATGAGGGTATATGCAAAGGGTCTGAATTACATAGGATTACAAAGATCCCCCTCTCCACTATATATGACAATATTAAAAAATAAATAATATTAATACAATAAGTCGAAAAAAAGGAAGTGATCATCTAAGAAAGATTACCAACAAATTTTCCAAGTCCCTTGACAGAGTATCCGAAGAAATACTTCAATACCAACAAGGACTTTGGCTAAGAAATTAGGGCAGCAGGACCTTGAAGTATTTTTCTTGACAGTTTCAAGGCATTTAGCCACCCATGGCTACAAAAAAACTCTCCCAAAGGTGACTCCAATGCTGACTGCTATCCATAAGCAGAAACAGGTCAAATGGATGCAGCAACATATCAATGATGATTGGAATAAAACTTTATTTTCAGATGAAACAGTCTTTCAACTCTTTTAGAATACAGTGAAGAATTGGCACAAAGGAATTCAGCTGATATGTCTCATGCCAAAGGACAAAGCAAAAATTTTTGCATTAGGTGAGTTTTGCATTATAGGCAAAATAAGTTTGTTTTGCTTTCGCTAAATTATAAATGCTGAGTTTTATGGTAAAATTCTAAAGAACAATATCTCAAAAATTGATGAAATGCTCAAGGATAATTGGTGTCTTTAGCAAGATAATGACCAAAATATACAAGTTGTCTTACTAAGGATTTTCTCTAAAATAATATCTCAGAAGTCATAGATTGACCCTTAAATAGTTTTAACTTAAATCTGATAAAAAATTTGTAGATTATTATTAAAGGGAATGTAGAATACTGAATGCCAAAAAATCTCACTGAATTGGAGAGATTTATGGCTAAAGAATTAAGGGAAATTTCAGATGACATTTTAACAAATTTCACAGATTTAATGAAATGATATTGCAAGTTTATTATCAAAAATAATAGAGAACAAATCTTCTATTAAATTCTATAATATTAATGAGATCATTTTTATCTTTAAATAAAAAAATTCATGTTATTATATATTGTTAATATGAAATTATAACCATTTTTTAATTTTGGTTTTTTTTTGCAACATATTGTATATAAAATAAATATAAAATAAAATAAAAATAAAATAAAAATTATATATACTTTAAATTTAAAATTCTTATTAATTGCAATATCTAATGGTTATAATTTGATATTAAACTACTAAAAATAAATCAAGAATTAAAAGGGAATGTAGATCATTTAATGAAAATTGTTTAGTCAATTTACTATAGTGTTTCATTTTTATTAATCCAACCCTTTTTATTTGTATGAATAAATATACCTTCAGGAAAAGTTTCTTGAAGTAAATTTTTTAAATTGAAAATAATAACTGGAGGTAATTTTGTTCTATCAGTTATGCATTCAAGAACTACAGTAAAATTTTTTTCATTACTTGTAATTCTAATGCTAATTATATAAACACTATATTTTTAAATTGTTGTTAGATTAAGTATATCAAAAGTAAGAGAAGTTTCATCTATATTTTCAAGTAAATGTAAAGAATAATTATATTAATTATATTTATTTAAAATATAATTTAAAAATTGTATTTTTTTTTTTTTAGATTTTTAGGTAAATATTATATGATAATTATATGATTTCTAATTAATAAATTATATTGATTTAAAATACTATCAAGCCATTTGTTTGAAAATTTAAATATTTATATATCTGGTAAGTTTTGAAGATTTATATTTTATACAAGCGATATTACTTTGTAATTATTAATAATCATGTAACAGGATTTTGTAATTACTATTATTTTATAATCTAATCAAATAAGATATCTTCTAATTATAAATATTTAGGTAATTTTCCTTTAAATATTCTTGAAGATGCATTAATTAAATCTTTTTTTTATTTATCTAATCTTTCAATTGTTTTAGTTGGATATTAAATTTTTTACATGTTTTACATTTTATTATTTTTATAAAATGTAATTATTTTTAATTTTTCTTAAACATATTAATTTCTACATAATTTTTTTATAATTATTACTTTTAATGCACTTTTATTATTATTTTTAACTATTTTGATAAATAATTTTATTTCAAAAAATTTATTTAAGTATTTATAAGAAATTTTAAACATTAGATTTTATTTAATAATTATAATTATAAAATAATAAATAATAATATTTTTTATAATTTTAAATGTAAAAAAATTATAAAATAATAAATAATAATTTCTTTTATAATTTTAGATGTAAAGAATTTATATTTTTATAATTATTACAAGTTTTTTATGATAATTTTTAGATTTAAAAAAATGATTTTCATAAATGATAAATCATTGTTAAATTTGCATGTCCTATTAAAGATTTCTGAAACTAACTAAAAAATATTTTTACAGAAAAAAGATATTACAAAAGCATCATATAGTATTTTATAATTTATATGATCAAATACATCCCTTATCATATTTACACTAAAAGTTAATTTTTTATATAATTTTTAATGTAATAAATATTAATAAAATAAGCTATTATTTATAATATTTGTGTATTGAAAAAAATAAAATATATAATAAATCATATGAGTTGATTGCTAAAAAAATCAGATTCCAGAAATTTTTTAGCAAATTGAGATTTTTATTGCATTTTAGTTTTTGATGTTATTAGATTAAAATGTATTAAGCTCTTAATTTTAGTCAAAAATTTCTCAGAATCTAATTTTCTTAGAAACACTCCCATATACTAATATTTTATATATAGAATATATATATGAATTTATAATATTTAACAACAAAAGGATTTGCAAAAAGAGAACCTATACATATTTTAAATATTCAAGAAGATGAGAAATATAAATAATATATTTAAGATCACAGATTAGTAATAATAGAATTAATGTTTTTAATTCTTGAAGAAACTATTTGTAATTCTTCTATTAAAGTTCAATATTTAATTACAGTTTCTCTAAATATAAGACAAAAATCAATACTTTTAATTTTATTATTAATGAATTTAAATAATAAAAATATATTATTTTACTCAGATTCAATAGAAAAATATTTTAACAGATTAAATAAGATGAATTTGAATTATTATCATATTAAGAATATTTTGAAAACTATAATATTACTTCTTTAAAAATAACAACTCTAAGAAAAGTATTTCAAGATGAAATTGGAAATTATATTGTAAAAAGAAAAACCAAATTCATAACAAAAATAAGATATTTAAGATACGCATATGGTGAATTATATTTTTATTAATAATTATTATTAAGACTTAGATCTAAAAGTGAAGAAAAATTAAAAGACAATTTTACAATATATCAAAAATATTTTCTAAATAAATTTTTAGAAATATATCAAAATAAGTGTATCTTATATAAGAAAAAATATCAAGAAGAAACTGATAATTTTAATAGCCAATTTTTTGAACTCACTCACATATTCTTACAAAATCTAATGAATTTAATAAATTCATAATTTAAAGAAATAATCAATAACTAATTAATGAAAATGAAATTTATACTAATAATAATAATATTAAATACAATGTTAACACTATCAGATTATTAATATTAATACATTAAAAAAATAATAAGAACTTTAGATCTATTAAATGGAAAATATTATTTATACTTTTTTATAATAGGATCTGCTGAAACTGAAAAATTATATGTTACTTATTATCTATTATAAGAATTTTAAAAAAAGATCCTTATTTACTATATATATTAACTGGTATTACTAAACAAAATATTATCCTTATTTACTACATGTATCAACTGGTATTACTATACAAAATATTAAAGGTTATATAATACATTTAGCCTTAAAAATTTATGCTATAGTAGGTGATTTTTAAACATTAGCATTTAATGATAAATCATTCAAATAAAATTTTAAAAAGATAAAAATTCTCATAATTGATAAAATATCAATAGTTTTATCTAAATTATTTAGCTATCTTTTAAATATATTTTTTAAATTATATAATAATTAATAACCATTTAGATCTTTTTTAATTATCATTAGTAAATGGAAATCTTATATTTTATTTACCTATATGGCAATTATTTTATCCACTTTTCTTAAAATAACTAAAAAGACAAGTAGATGATCTTTAATATTATTCATATTAGAAAATATTAACATTTCAGAATCAATATAACAATTATTAAATAAAAAATATCAAGAAAGTTTAAATAATCTATTATTAGAAGATGTATTAAATATAACTCATATTATAGGTTATAAGGAGATAGCAGAATAAATTAATACTTAAATTTATAATACTTTACCAATTGAAAATGAAAAATATTAATATTATATTCAAAGAATATCATTAATAGAAAAGTACAAGAACATAAAAGTTCAGAATACTTAATAAAATTTAAAATAAACTTATCATCTTTTATAAGATTGCAAATAGGATATCAAGTAATATTTCTTAATAACAAATATATAGGGTTATCAAAAGTCCCTAAATACTTTTTGGATCAATATGAAACGCAAAATTTTAAAATTTAACCAAAAAAAGTTTATAATATTTTTATTTAAGATTTGCTCTACATTTTGTACTAAGTAACTAGTACTTAGTCGAGCCTCTTTTTACTTCAATTACAGCTCAAATTTGCTATAGTATACTATTGACTAAATTTTTGATAGTATGTATAGGAATTTCTTGTCATGCCTTCTTAATGTATCAGTCAAGTTTAGTAAGGTTAGAAGACTATTTTTTCCTTTTACAAATGCTTTTCTTGATATCAGCTCACATATTCTCAATTGGATTAAGGTTTAGACTTTAGGCGAGCTAAAAAAGTATGCGTAAGTTATTTTCTGTATGAAATTTTTTTGCAACTTTTATTTGTAATAGTGAGCATAATCCTCTTAAAATAAACCATTACCATTTAGAAATACATGTCTCATAATTAGCATAATGTGTTATGAAAGATAATAATGTGTGTAATACTAG